TCCCTGTAATGATGCTACCTCGGCCTTCCAAATTTAATTACCAAGTAATTCTATACATCACGTGCAGCGGCTTGGTCCTGGCAAGGGCTGAGTGTCACCAGGAGGTCTCTGAAACCACGGAAGATGTTTTCTCTGTGCACTGAAGGGCAGTCCCCACCACTGCCTCCAACTCTGTGTCTTTAACAGGGAGAACCCAAAACCAGGCTCAAGCCCCACGATGGTGTGTTTTGTGACGTCCTACCAGCCCCAGGCCACATGGTGCCATTCCCAAATCTGTTTGAACGAAGAACAGGGAAGGGACCGCGCCGAGGAAGACGTTTTCTTTTCGGCACATCCCGCGCTAAGAAGTATTTGCCGATAAGCTGATAATCAGGTGGCCCGGCCACTCTCGGTGCGTTAGACCTTGCTGCTTAGAGAATATTTGATCATACAGTATCTCCATTAGGAGTTTGTAATCCGCTATCGCAGCATTTGAGAGCCATTTGAGTGTAAGGAGATTTTTATTAATGGTTCATGAGCCTAAAAGTCAAAACTGACTCTCCGAGCAGCTTTTAACAGTTTGTGCAGCATTTCTGCATTTATCTGTCTCTTCACCCACCTCTTCTCCCCCCTCCATCTCCTCCCTCCACTCTGTCCCAGTGCAGAGCTGCAGCAGCAGCGGGGAGACACTGGGCATCCCCAGCAGCTGGATCTGCTGGATGGTGTTTCTCCTTCCCTTCTGTCTTTTCCCTTCCATCCTTCCTTCCTTCCTTCCTTCCTCCCTTCCTCCTTTTCCTTTTCCTTTCCTTCTCTTTCATCTCCTTCCTTCCTCCTTTTCCTTCTTTTCCTTTTCCTTTTCCTTTTCCTTTTCCTTTTCCTTTTCCTTTTCCTTTTCCTTTTCCTTTTCCTTTTCTCTTTTCCCTTTTCCTTTTCCTTTCCTTCTCTTTCTTCTCCTCCCTTCCTCCCCTCCTTCCTTCCTTCCTTCCTTCCTTCCTTCCTTCCTTCCTTCCTCCCTTCCTTCCTCCTTTTCCTTTTCCTTTCCTTCTCTTTCATTTCCTTCCTTCCTCCTTTTCCTTTTCCTTTTCCTTTTCCTTTTCCTTTTCCTTTTCCTTTTCTTTTTCTCTTTTCCCTTTTCCTTTTCCTTTCCTTCTCTTTCTTCTCCTCCCTTCCTCCCCTCCTTCCTTCCTTCCTTCCTCCCTTCCTTCCTCCTTTTCCTTTTCCTTTCCTTCTCTTTCATTTCCTTCCTTCCTCCTTTTCCTTTTCCTTTTCCTTTTCCTTTTCCTTTTCCTTTTCCTTTTCCTTTTCCTTTTCCTTTTCCTTTTCCTTTTCCTTTTCCTTTTCCTTTTCCTTTTCTCTTTTCCTTTTCCTTTCCTTCTCTTTCTTCTCCTCCCTTCCTCCCCTCCTTCCTTCCTTCCTCTTCCTTCCTTCCTTCCTTCCTTCCTTCCTTCCTTCCTTCCGTTTCCTTTTTTCCTTCTCGTTTCTCTCTCCCCACCTCACCACACACAGCACTGCCACCAGCCCAGCCCCAACACCATGTCCTGAGCCCCCCCAGCACCCCTGTGGGATCCTGGCCCTTCACCCCAGAGCTGCTTGCACCTGCTATAGACACTGGTGCTATAGACATGGCTGTGTCCACCTGTGCTATACGTCTTTACATATGTATATACGTATATATGTGTATATATATGCCCTGATAGGCACACTCATGCAATGGGCATTTGTGATATGCATCAACATCTGCATTTATGCCATTCGCTTGGGTGCCACGAGCACCGATATGTGCATTTACACTATGTGCACTCACAGACATGCATTTATATACGTATTTGTGTGCTCTCCCCATTTATACGTACGCATCCATAGAGGCGTTGGCGCTATATGTGTTTCTGGATATGCACAATTTTGCTCTCTGTGTGTATGTGTGGGGTGGGGTAGGTAGGGAGGTGGGCGCACGTGTGGAGGCTCTGAGCCCTGTGCCCCCCTCAGACCCCGCAGGGCTGGGAGGGGTGAGCAGAGGTGCCCCTTCCCCAGATGACGTGCTGCCTTCTGGGGTTCACCTCCCCGGCCCCCCCCAACCCCTCATGGCCCCAGGGGCTGGGGGGATCTGTTCTCCCCCGTTCTTTGGGAAATGGGGGATTGATGTTGGAGAGCCCTTCTGGGGTCCCCGCTCCTCTTTTAGTCCCTAAAACTGGATGGGGTCCAGGACGCACACCAAGCCCAACCCATACCCAGCCCCCCCAAACCCATATCCATGCCCAACCTTCCCAAAGCTTGTTCTAAACTTCCCAGACCCAACCCTCCAGCCTTATCCCCCCACCCACCCCAAACCCCAGGTAAGGGCAGTGCCAGGGCTGTGAGTGGGGGTTTTAGGGGTCCCTGAGCCCCCTCACCCCATGCCAGGTGGAGAAGCTCTGCTGTGAGTCCCTAAATCCAGCGGTTTTTTCAGCAAGGTTCCCCTGTCTCCTTGGAAACTGGCAGCACTCCCCAGCCCGGCGCTCCTCCTGAAAATACAATCACCCCAAATCTTATCCCTGTTTTGGGGTTCCCTGAGCTGCCTCAGCCTGGGCAGGGAGCAGAGCTGGTTCCTAGGGAGAGACTGGGCAGCGCAGGCTGGCACGGAGCAGGCACAGAGCAGGCAGGGAACGGGCAGAGGAGATGGAGCCGATGTTTGCAGCAGCTTGACGGTGGCTGGGGTCAAAACTTCCCTCCTGATTTACTGCTTTTTCAATTTTTGGTTGTCTTTTTTTTTCCCCTCTGGTGGGAAATATCAACCTGCAGAACAGCAAGAGGATTCGCTTATAGGTATATTTTGGGGGGGGGCTGAGGGGGACACCTCAAATCAAACACCCTTCTAATCAGCTCTTTGCCCCTAAATCTGGCTTTCCAACACTAAACCGACGTGGTCCCCCCCCGGCTTTTCCCCCGATTTTATTGGATCCAGAATTGTCTCCAGCTGCCTCAGTTCAGAGAAAATGAATTCAGCCGGAAGGGAGATCTAAAACATTAAAAATGAAAAAGGAGTTAAAACGCGCTTTATGTAATATTTTGCGGCTGCCAGCGCACCTTGGGATTTTGCCCTTTGCCTATGCGAGTGCCCATTTAAATTAAAATCAGAAACAAACAGGTTGAGAAAATGTGGGAAGTGCAAAAAGCCAAGTAAAATTCAGAGAAATTCCTGCCACGAATTGGATTTTCTGCTAAAAATTAGCCATCGCCAGAGGATCTCGTCCCTAACAGATGGAGAAACACTCAGGAAAGAAAAGTAAAAGGTAAGATGGGAAAAGCAAAATGGGAAAAGAGCTTTTAAAGAGGCTTAAAAAAAAAAAAATAAAATCAAAAGCCCAGGAAACAAAATTAAATCAAAAGCCCAGGCAGGTGGGATGCTGTGCCCCAGTTCCACAAGGACTTGTGTTTTCCAAGTATGTGTATTTTGCTTGAATGATGTTTTTGGGGGGGATAAGCTTAGTTGGTTTGAACCGAATCAGCGGAGAAATGAAACTTTCCGCTCTGCTGCCCGGGAGCAGCGGTGACGGGACCCGGCTGAGCCATCCCCGGCAACGCCGGCCTCTGCGTTGCCTTGTGCTTCCCAAATCCCCCCCCCACGCATCCTCCCATTAAAAAATAAAAGTAAATAAACTAGAAAAATCACAACATGAAGCAAGGTGAAAACTGGCCTTCGTTCAGAGCCGGCCAACGTGGTTTTAATTTAAAGGTTGATCTTTGCTCGCGGTGATGGGGACAGAAATGTCACTGTGGGATGGAGAGGGTTCACCGGGGACAGCCTGCTTGGGTCTCAGGGATGCAAAGCCAAGGGATGGTACGGCTGGACAGGCACATCCCTGCTCCCTGGTCCTAGGGACCACGGCGGGGTGACGGTGGCTGTACGCACGTGGCCCCAAGTGGCTCTCAGGCGGGAGGGAGCCAGTGCCAAGCTGCAGGGGACAGTCGGTGACAGGGAGCACGATGGTGACAGGTGCTTTTTTCCTCCTCTCTCTCTTTCCAGAGGTCCATTTTTCCACTGGGTTGAATCCAAACCGAGTTCAGGGCTCAAGTGACCCCAGCGATGAATGCGGGAAGGAGAGAGGGGGACAGAGGGAGTAGGACAGAGGAAGAGCCACCAAAAGCAGGGATGCTCAGGAAGGGCCTGATTCTGCATCACAGGGTGCTGTGGCTTCAGCTTACAGAGTTGTAGCTTAAAAACTTATCCCCACTCCTTCTCCAGCACTTCCGCTCGGATGATCCTGCCCTATCGCTCCCATGTCCCCTCTCCTCCCTGAATCAGCCTGGAAAGTTTAGGGCTCTCCCCAAAAGCAAACCAGGGACTCACGCGTCCTGGGAGGCCAGAAAGCAAACGCATCCCTCCCAAACAGGATTTGGGAAAGCTGGGGAGGAAGGGAAGGTCACATTATCCAAGGTCTGTTTTTTTCCTTTAAAAAATAAAATAAAATATAAAATAAACATCTCCTCTTCATGTTGTTTCCTTCACCTCGGGGAGCCGCTGGCAAAACCCTCTTTGTCTTGGCCCTGCGGAAGCAGCCGGACCCTCCTGGTCCCCCGCGCAACCGAGAAATCCCTGCGGCAGACAGCATCGCCCCTCTCCATCGCTCGCCGGATGCGATTAAAACGGAAGACAACCATCAAGTGTGCTAGAACCATTTTAATATAATTATACATATCTGCCAAATCCAGGAAAAAAAGGTTTATGCATATATATCTTTTTTTTTTTTTTTTTCAGTTAACATCTGCAAGCATAAACAACAATGAATTTTCTCGGTTTAAATTCATCCAGGTCAGAGCAACTGCCCAAAGTCCTGTTGGGTTTGACGGTCACCGCCAGCATGGCCAGCAGTAAGTGAGCTCCAGAGGAGTTTTAACATCCTCGGGTGGGTTTGGTTTGGTTGTTGGTTTGTTTTTATTTTTTCGGTCTTTTCTCTTTCATTCAGAGACAGTTTGTTGTAAAAAGTTTCAGTGCAGTTCACCTCGGGTGAAAGGCGACCATGTTTTTGTGTTTTTCTTTCTTTTTTTTTTTTAAATATATTTCTTAATTTTTTTTTTTTTTTTAAAAAAAGATGATAATAGGTAACTCAGTTGCTCTGAATTTCACTTATAATTATAACCTATTTAAATCACAGCAGAACTCCCGCTGGTGCAGAGTTCATAGTTGCATACAATACAGGAGATCACAGTTTTGAAGTCTAGCACAGATTAAAAACCACAGATGTACCATTTATATAAGACACACACTGATTGTCTCTAGAGACTGAGCTATGTTTTGCTTATCTTTTTTTTTTTTTTAATCTTTAAATAAAGTAGTGCAGCTAGGACAATCAGTCACACAACCCACACAGCCCTGAACCAAGTTCTCCGGGTGCCAACTTGAGCAAGTTGGGCGTGAAACAGTTGGATGAGCTCGAGAGAGCGAAGAGAGAAAGAAAAGAGGGAGGGAGAAAAAGAGGGAGAAAAAGAGAGATACTGTCCATTCTGAATATTTTAACCGAGGGTTGGCTAACACATTGGAAACCTCTGGGTGAAGGATCTTTCCACGCACACACAAAAAAAAAAAAGAAATAAAAACCTAGACTTTTTTTTTCTTTTTTTTTCTTTTTTTTTTCTTTTTTTTTTTTTTAAAACTGGCCCATAGGTGGGATGAGCTTCCACCTCTTCCAAACAAAGGAACCCAACAATTGCCTAAAACTAGAAAGAACACAGATGGGTCTGTCTGTTTTCTGCTCACTAGATGATCTGTCCGTTTAAGGCCTTCCTCCTCCGTTTTTCCTCTTTATTATTCCTTTTCCAGAGCATCTGAGCAGGAGATGAGTCTGAACAGAATCACACCAACACTGTCCCCCTCTTGTCGCTGGCGGTTTGTTTTTGTTGTTGTTGTTCGTTTGTCTGTCTGTGGAGTTTATTTTTTTTTTCTCTTTAATTTAACCAAGACCTGACTAAAACTGGAACGTTCAGCCCAGCCTGTTCGTTCTCGTCGCGATTTCTCTCGGTATCACAAAGGTTCTTCACAAAACCTGGAACTTCCATGACGACGTCTGGTCCTTATAATCCAAGCAGTCAGCATTGAAGTTTAACTTCCAGGAGGCGGTTTGGTCTTTATAATCCAAGCAATCGGTGGTGGAGTTAAAGCCCAAACTGGAGGCTCCATAGCCCTGGGTGGAAAGGGAGGCTGGAGACTGGTTGAGGTGGCTGGTGACCGCGTTGGCACCCATGGGACTCAGGGTGGCCCCCGGTCCGGGAAGCTGGTGGTGCATAGGGGTCAAGTAAGATCCACAATCCATCCCTCCAAAATAGGAGGTTGAGCCAGCGTATCCTTGGCTGTAGCCTGATGCCTGCGTGTAGGTCATAGGGTAGGATCTCTGCATGCAGGAGGAAGAGGTGGACAGGGGGTCTGAGAGCGGGGAGATGGACGCTGGGCTCCAGATGGATACAGGGGCACTGCTGCTGGAAATGGTGGGGACCGAGGTGCTGGAGGGAGGAGTGAACTGCCCACTGGTCCCGCTCTCCGAACTCACTTCCCGGGCCGGCGAATTCTTCTTTTTAGCTGGCCGGACCTTGTTCTGGCCCCCGTTCTGCTGCTGCTGCTGCTGTTGCCGGCACTTGGCCCGACGGTTTTTAAACCACACCTGGAGATAGGGAGATGGGGAGGGAGAGAGAAAAAGCCTGGTGTTAGGGATGCACAGGCAAACCCGAAGTGGGGAGAGGGGAAAGGTACAGTGATGGGGACACCTCGCCAGGGAGGGGACACTGAAAGAGCCTCCCGGCAAGTGGAGGGTCACAGACTGCTGCTGAGAAAAGCTCCGGGGCTCCCCCTCCCTGAGATCATTAGCAGTAATAACAAGTGGAAATGGGCAAATCAAACTGCTTAATAAGGTCACTTTTGGGGGAGAGAGGGGGGTTGGGGGGGAAAGCACTCCCTATTTGCTATCTGCCAGCTGGGGATCCCCAGGAATCATCATTTAAGGCCTGTTGAAGTCAAGCCCTTAATTAGAAACAATAAAGCATTGGACAGGGAGGGAATAATTAGAGAGACAGAGGCAGTGGTTGGGGGGGGACATACGAGTAAGGGTGTTTCGTTTACCCCGTAAATAGACTCTCTGCTCTCACCCCCAGCCAGACCCAGCCCCCCAACCCATCTCACCACTTTTTTAGCAGGAACTAGAGGGGCTGGCTCTGGGGAGGAGGAGTGCTGGCAGGTTTCATGGGGGAAAAGCTGGGATTTGGCATGGGGAGGATCCCATCCCCAGCGGCCATGCTCCACTGGGACATGGCACCATGCAGCCTCGGGAAGCTTCACAGGGAGGCAAGCGGGAAAGATGGCTTTGAGGCTGCCCTGCCTTGGCTACGGGGGTGTCCTGGATCTGTGCTGGGGACCTCTTCCCCTGCCAGCAGCACCTCCAAAATGGTGTCTGGATTGAGCCCTTGCAGAGGAGACACAGCCCAGCCCCAGGAGAGGAGTCTCCTCCACCAAGGCATCCCCTCTCTCATCAAAGTCTCTTCCACAGGGGCCCCAGATGGCTGCAGCACAGGCTGGGGTTTGGCACCCGGGCCAAGGTGCGGAGTCTGGGAATGCTGGGGTGCCCACTCCGGAGGAGAGAGGCTGAAGGGGCTGGGAAGGGGTGCAGAGGGCTCTGGAGCTGGGACCTGGGAGCTGCACGATCTCCACCAGTGCACAAGGAGAAAGAGGAGGGCACGCTCCAGCCCTGGGGAGGCAAAGGGCCACTCCATTCCCTCCTGCACTCTCAGCCATCTATGAGCTTCCTTCCCCCCACACCGACTTCATCTCTCTCCAGGACTGACCCCCATCCCCTAAACCAGCCCCCTCCCCTCCCTTCCAGCCA